GTTGGTTAGCGCATGATTAAAATTAGAAGCAAAGAAAAACAAATATTGGGAAAGGAATACACTCCAAAGCACAGATGATCCGTTTCGCCCGTTATCGCAGACGAACCATCGTTGTCTAGCCAACCCCCAGGCTCATCAGTGCGACAGGGTTGACGACATGACATGAAGGATGACAATGTTTAAGACAGAGAAATGCATTGCTCAGTGACCTCCTCTGCGCTAATCATGTCATAAACATCTTCCCAGCGTGCCGCGAAATCGATCCAGATTTGCAATGATGAAAAAGAACTAGGAACGTTCATTTCCTCCTATATATACACTTCCACATAAAATTAGATTACTCTGGAACACTGTATGGAACACTGTAACTTCAGTATAACAATTGATTTCCAACAAAAACAGCTGCATTAAATACATAAAATTTCCTAACTAATGGTAAGCTGACTATCACGATGCAGGCACAATGTTGTCGAATATTTGTCGTATTGATTCATCTTCCTGAAAAAATATAGAGATCATAGCGAATTAGAGAGCGCCTAGCTGGTGCCCTTTACACCTATTGCTTGGGAAATCGCTTGATGGCGCATGACCTTCACCCGCTTCTTAGAAAGCGTTCATACACCGCAATCTTAAATCGCGTGATGCTCGCGATCGCGTGGAGCCGATCGCTAGCGGCGATCGCCATATTCACGCGATTCGAGCGAAGAATCGTGACTTTTCTAGCTTTAGACCACATAAATATCCAAATGGAAGTTGAAGGTGTGGGACATGGAATGGCAGGGTGCCAAAAATCGCACAACTCACTCACAATAGTAGGTCTTTCTAGGAAATTCCCAGGCAGTGTGACCATAAACAGAACGGCTTACCTGTAAATATTCGTAGAGTTTTTCAATTTTTGCTGCATCTTCGCTCTCGACTTTGATAGGGTGGAGGGGTCGGAATTGGAGTTCAGCTGACTCGACAATCAACCTAAATGGCAAGATCACAAAGTGAGAGATACACAAGCAGCCTTGCAGGAGGAAGCATCAAAGTATTAAACTGGTAGTGACTGATTCGGGCAATACTCACCCTTTACTAGTCAAAGCCTTTTCCACTTTTGCAAGCTTTCCTGGATCACACACTAACTCGAACACTCGACCTTCATCTTCAACAAGAGACACGTCTTCGCAATCCAGCTCTATTCCGATCTCCTCCATCTATAATAAGAGATACAGAACGAACATCGATTAAAGGTCAGTTCATCAGAGTAATGGCGATGAAACATGAAAAAGCAGAGGCAGAGAGATTCGCCTGGGAAGAAAACCCACTAGGATCTCTATCCTTTCCTGTTTCACAAAGTTGAAAGCGATGGTGAAGTGGGCGGGCACCTCACGCCTAGGCTGGGCGACACTTTACGTCAAAATTACCTAGCGCCTTCCCAAGCACTTCCAGATGACTCAACGCGGCACACCTTTGCACCTGTGCACTTGACGCGAAGGAGGATCAGAAAATACCTTCAGGAAATCGCACAATGTGCCTTCAAGTCAGAAAAATGTCTGAGTACCTGTTCCATAGAAATCGGTCCGTTTTTGGACTTTTCGTTTCACGCTCAAAACTCCTTTTTGCTCGAACCAGCTCAATACTGCTGAAGCTTCAGAGGCAAAACGAAATCCGCCAACCTAGAAACATACATACTGAAGACTAGAAGAAGCGAAACCCCAAAGGGGAGACTTTACCTTATTGAAGTATTTCCGCATTGTGTTCTCCAGCGCTCTCTTGCTGTCGGTTTCAGCTTCGATTATGAAAAACGTACCAGACGGTCCAATAACATTAAACTGGACGTCAACTTCGGGTTTCTCCTAGAACTGGCGACTGTCTAGAAAATTCTGAATGCTCTAGCTTCAGAACTACCTTCATTTTAGTGAGGAAATTCTTGAAAGTATCCAGTGGCAACCCCTTTGATCGAAATTCCTGCTCCAATGCGGCCAGTTCCCGATTGAGCTTCGTGTCATATCCACCGTGTGCTACAGCCGCTTTTACCTAGAAATTTCCAATACCTTGAAAATGAAGTTCTTGACGCGAAGGTATGGATACAAACCTTCGTCAGCAGAGTTGTGATCGCCTTCGATCGAAGCATGTCATTTTTACCCTTTGTGGCCTTGATGTTTTGCCATTTTGAATGACCTTTGAATAATCCACTCGAGAAACACAGTCCTCTTCTTGCTATCGCATATGCTGAAGGCAACATCTGAACAAAAAAACTATGAATCAGTAATTACAAAACTAATCGTCATTTCACCGTAACAGCGAAAAACCCAGCACATCACTTTTCGACCTGGGGGGGGGGGCACTTTGCATATTCGCTAGTTCCTTTTGTTACTTCACCTTAAATAATAGGTACGTTGGTGAGACCTGTAAACTCCTGTGTAGCTGTGAAATGTAACGAGTGAGTCGCTTTGGTAACAGGCATTTAAAGTTCATTTTAAAGTAATTCTTCACAAACCGATCTGTACAGCTGAGTACCATTTATGGTTAGTGTCCCAGCACTTTCCCTAACCCTTTTTTGGGCATTTCTAGAATAGTATCTGAGCTAACCCCATACTCAGATTTGTACTGTCATTGGTAACAAAATTATAATGCTATTACCAGCCAACTGGTATTCTTGGTAGAACATTTGCAATATCTTTCTTAAAGCTAATCAATTTGTCTTTCCTTCCAACAGTGAAGCTGCACAACAGCCAACCCTCCCCTCCCCGCCCCACTCATCGGTGTTTCAAGTCTGTGGCTCTTCTCCAGCTCAAAAGTTCAACACCCACCTTCCCTACAACTTCCCACCTGTGATTTCCCGCAGCACACTTA